TTTATAAACTGTAAATTATCGTACACAAACAACCGCATGTATTATATACAACTCAAGTAATATTTTAAATCAAAACAAGTATAATCTATTTTAATAAAATAGAATAGATAAAGTTGTGATTCTTTTCTTTTTGTGCTCTAATAAATAATAAATTTATAAATAATAAGTAAATAATGGTACTAATAAATAATAAATATATAAGCAATAATAAATAATAAATAATAAATAATGGTATTCGCATATCATAACAATTATCAAATTTCATTTCAAGAGATACCATATAAATAACAGAGGATGGACCGATATTGGTTATAATTTCCTAGTCGGTGAAGACGGAAATGTGTACGAGGGTCGCGGATGGGGCAAGAAAGGCGCTCATTCTAAACCTTTCAACAGCAAGAGTATTGGAATTTGCATCATCGGAGATTACAGAAGTAAGCAATACCAGAAATAACACGGATTTGTTATTAGTATCGTATGTAGGTAACATGTATTTTTCTAATGTTTTTCCTATTAGACCGAACACCAAAAGCAGCGGCGGTACAAGCAGCGACTAACTTGATTGCTTATGGAGTAGAAAACGGTGAAATAAAGAGTGATTACAAGCTTCTTGGACATCGACAAACCTGGCCAACCGAATGTCCCGGAGATAGTCTTTACACAATGATAAAGTCATGGCCTCATTGGTCCGAAAATCAATAAACAATAATGTACATTTTACTTAATACAACGTGAAATAAAAGTTTTTTTCATCAGTCACGATAAAAACGATCACAAACCATAATTGTGTAATCGATTAACAATTATATGAACATTTATACAAAGTTCGCAATGCATTTGATTTTATAAATGTCAAAATTTACATCATCCTTAATTTCTACTTATTAATTAATCTAATAAAGCGACATACATTATATATATAATATATCGCTTTATTAGATTAACCAATAAGTATATATTTGTAAAAATAAACCAAACAATTGTTGTTTATATATATGCATATGCATACATGATTTAATTCAATTCCATATATAATATATATATAATATTATATTATTATAATTATTATAAAATATTAATTTAATAGTAATATTGGCAATTAACAATCAAGTACATAATTTCCACGTGATTATTATATATGGATAGTAACAAGGTCGTTAAGGTATTTATCATAAGTATCTTCCTCAGTTCTGACGCAAATTTCCAATCTCGAGAAATCTATTTGGGAACCATTGTTTTCGTAATCAGTCTGGTCTCTTATCTAAAATAAAATTAATTATTTTATTTTTCCTATATTCTCAATATGTCGTGGAGAAATATTATTGTTGAGTTTCAATAAATTTTATAAATTCAGAGTTGAGAAAAGCGTTACTTTTTTTATTCTTTTTTATAATAAACTATTTGATAATAATATTGCAATTTTTTTATAACTAAACCTTAAGATTGTGCTAAGGTTTAAAAGTCTTTTTCAACCTTAGCACAATCTTACCGTTTAGTTATAAAAAATTACAATGTTATGTTTATTATAAAAAATAACGGAAAAAATAACGCTTTCTAAATCTGTTTATATAGCAAACATAATATAATTACATACTTGCAGGAGAATTTGTCTACCGAATTGTTCATTCAATTTTTCTATGCATATATTCGTTCCATACGAAATGCCAGATTTTAAATTACCAGCAACAGTAACGTAACGAGCGCGACCATCAAGATAATCCTAAAATAAATTCGTATATATTAGAGAAAATTATCTGTAAGTTGTTTTTGTCACATTGCGTCTGTCTCGTTTACGAACCTGAAGAGTCTTTAATTCCTTTCCTCGATCATCCAGATGATTACGTTTATCGTCCGTCCCGAATACAGGATAATATCCGGAAAGAGACACATTATGAATAGCATATCCCGTACATTTCAAATCCGTTCTGTTTACATTATTCTTGTCTAAAATCAATCATTCTAAGCATTAAGTATTCTAGCCAAGTTCAATACTTGAATATTTAATAAAAAATATTCTGCGAAAAACATGCTTGATATTTATGACTATAATTATATTTATAATTAGGACCTTCTTTTTTATATCATTATTATTGCTATAACATATTCGTAAACATAATTGTATTTATGATTTTATAATAATTATAAAAATAAAGTTCATAATCATAATTATTCTATGCAATTATTGTCAGAAATACCGAACATTTTTCTCTCAATGTGGTAATATTTTAATGGTAAGTATGCTAAATTGGAGTAAAACTGTCTACCAGAAGCGAAAACTATGGAAAACAGAAAAAGTGCGAAAATCGCGAACATTTTTGTAATTAAATAACACAACTCGTATCGCAATTATGATCATACTGATTGCCGAATGGCCAAATCCTTTTTTTAAAGCTGACCACCTTTATACAATGATGATCGGAATTTGCTAACGTTTGACAATTGCTTACTCAATCGCTTCCGAATACATTCTACAGTTGGTTCCAAGACGACATGACCAACGTCACATTAACCGATGTAACATTGTCCTGTCATGTGTATAAACTTCATTATTGAAACTGAATTATTAATATGTATTAATATTAAATGACATTTATTATAAAGACATTTGTTTTAAAGACACTTTACAATTTTTTCAAACGAAATAGCGTTGACCTACAATGTTAGCTAACATGCGCACATTTAGCAGTTACACGTAGAAAAAGGCATACTATATACAAATAATAATTATTTGTTTCAAATTTTAAAAGTTTATATAATTGCAAATCTATCATAAGTTCATCACAAATATCAAATTTATATAAGATCTGAATCCTATTAAGTTTAATACTGAAGTCAAAATTATTAAATTAAAACTCAATTTACTTGTTACATAAAGTCATTTCTTTGCGATCTATTTTACAAAATATTCTTTAAAAGAAAATAAATTTTAATTTTAAGTACACAATAATAAATGAGTTGTTCTAAAATTTGTAATAAGTATATTTTAAAATTATTAAAACAATATTTTTCGTTAAGGATAAGCGTTACTTAAAAGAAAGAAAATTGAGTAATGAAGTGACATTGTTCTATGTAATAGATTATAGTAAAATAATAATTCCTTTCTCATTATTCATTTTATCTGACTTTATTCATATTCGTTAAATATAGTCCTATATCCATATGCCTAATTAGGTACATATATAAAAGTGACTTTAGCCAAAATATGCCAACTTTGCGTATATTTTTTAAATATTGATCTACATTCATATGGCAATTATGCATGATGTGTATATGTATGTACCATATATTGTCATGTTATCTGAAGTCATTATTAAATGGAACTGTATATTTATATATGACTAACACAGTGTCGATCTTTTATAAATAAAAGAAATTAAAATCACCATACACAGCATATATACTATCTGCATATGTAAATTGTTCATCATATAACGAATCATGTCATTTATAATAATTAGCAATATTTTCTTACGAAACACATAGATAATTATAGTATATGTTCTAAATTTCAACATATTTAAACAGAATCAATTATTTAAAAATATTTTTTGAGTGCCACATTAGAAGTAGATTATCATAAAGAAATAATGTTTATTTCATATTTCATGTGAGTTCTTGAATTTAATAAAAACATTTATGTACACGTAATGCGTTCAAGTTTTTCCACTCTTCTAAATGTGGAACAATAAATATTCAACTATTCAGAATTAACCATTAGGAAGTTGATTGTCGCTTTCATGGCGGCATTATGGCACCAAAGCTATACTTTCCAACTATATCCCTCGTAAATAATATAGAACCTGGTGAATAGGACACGTGGAAAACGATACATCGTCAGTCTTATAAAGTGGTTCGTAGCTTTCGAACGTGTTTTGTTCCGTTTCAAGATAAAAGGTGCCTTACGTAATACGATGAATCAGAAAGACGGTTTCAATGTAGCAGTGACGAATTAAACAGAGTATTATTAATCATTAACGTTCCGATAATAATCAAGAATGGAGTTTCTCATTAAATAGTACACGAAACGATATATTTATCCACGATATTGTAAAGACGACTTCGATAATTATCTTATTTCTTAGTAAAGTTACGATCAAAAGGTGATTGTCGCAATTTTAGCCTATAGATTTATATATAAACGATACCTACACTATAAAATGGCTTCTTTTGCCTACAAATCGATTTCTTTTGCCTACAGCATCGTTTGCCACTTTTCCCGACAGTTCGTTTACGCACAAAAATTATTGTCTACAGCTCGATTACCGTCTTTGTAAAGTTAGCACCTCATTTTCAAAAATTGGAAATTTTAATAACAGTTCTGCTCGCATCCGAAATTGTTTCACAGTTCTTGATAGGTTTCATGAATCGTTCTGTTGATTTAGACAAAAAATTAAAAAAAGTAAAAATATGCGGTGCTAACTTTGCGTGGCACCACAAGATTCGAAAAAGTTGATTTTTATTACGGAATCTTATAGTTCTCGAAGAGTTTTACAGTTTCAGATAGATTTTAACAATAGTTCTGGTTTTTAAGTACTTTTTAATAAATTTTTAACATAACAGCTGGCATTTCAAGTTTCAAAATTATTAATTTTTATTACGCTACTCTTTTGTATTCGAAGAGTTATACAGTTATTTGTGATAAATTTTATTTAGCGATACCGGCATTTTAAATATGTTTAAACAATTTTTTAATCCGAACTGGCACCGCACTTCAAGAGTAAAGTACCTCTAAAGTTCTGTGTGACTGACTTTGGCATTTTCTGACAATTCTATGATAGTTCCGAAGACTTATGTAGGTTTTGACTGGAGTATCGGTCGTTAAATATTTTTAAACAAAAAAAGTAAAAAATAAAAAAAAAATATTTAAAAAAAATATTTAACGATCGAATACTCCAGTCAAAATCTACACAAGTCTTCAGAACTATTGTATAACTCTCGGAAAAAATGTCAAAAAGTTAGTTAGAACTGGTTGTTTAGAGGTACTTTACTCTTGAAGTGCGGTGCCAGTGTTCGGATTAAAAAATTATTTAAACATATTTAAAAGGCTGATAGTGTCGCTATAACTTATCAGGAACTATGTAATTCTTCGAATACAAAAGAGCGGCGTAATAAAAATTAATTATATTGAAACTTGAGATATCAGCTCTTACATTAAAGATTTATTTTAAAATACTTGAAAATTATAACTATTGTATAAAATCTATCAAGGACTGTAAAACTCTTCGAGAATTATAAGATTCCGTAATAAAAATCAACTTTTTTCAAATCTTGCGATGTCACGCGAAGTTAGCACCGCATATTTTTATTCTTTTAAATTTTTTGCTTAAATCAACAGAAATATTTATGAAACCTATCAGGAACTGTAGAACTATTGCGGGTGCAAGCACACACAGAACTGTTATTAAAATTTCCGATTTTTGAAAATAAGGTGCTAACTTTACAGAGACTCGACTGCCTACATGCACTTTTACGCAAAAATAAAAATTTCAGAAACGGTGTTACTTTTGCTTACATGTATTATTGCCTATAGCTCGATTGCCTGCACCCGTGTGAAGCTCAATATTAAAAAATCGATTTTTTTTTTCATGCATTCGTTTGCTCATCGTTTGCTCACGAATGCTCAGTTGAAATTTTCGTTTGCTCACCCTTAGTTCAAAAGATATTCACACGGATATTGCCTGCATGCATTTTTTCACACAAGTAAAAATTTCAGAAACAAAGTCATATTTGTCCACATGTATTATTGCCTAGAAGAACTTTTGCTCACAAATAAAAATTTTAGAAACGAAGTCACATGTGCCTATGTAATATTACTGTGTATCTACAGATCGATTGCCTGCAAGCACTTTTACGCACAAATATAAAATTACGGTTAAGTAAGAAAACAATTTGTATTTTTAAGGCAGAGAATTTTGTGTGCCTCAAAGCACAGAATTTATTTTAAAATAAAGAATTTATGATTTTAAAGCAGAAAATTTGTGTTCTAAAACAGAATTTGTGTTTTTAAAGCAGAGAATAGATAATAAATAAAGACATAATCGAGCTGTAGGCAATAATTTTTTTACGCAAACGAACTGTCGGCAAAATAAGTAATGTAGGCAATCGATCTGTAGGCAAACGAAATCATCTCTTACACTATTATATGATATATTTTTAAGTTTTTTTATTCAATCCAGCTTGTTAAATTAGAATATAATCTGGAATCACAAGCTTTTTAATTTTTAAATTATCTTTGCTATAACGCATTGTATATTTCAACAAAAGAAAAATCAGTTGAAAAGTTCGCGACACAGAGGTATCTATAAGCCGTAGTACATGATCGATGTGTCATTGCACCGTACCCCACTAACATCGATTGCAGAACCGTGATATAACAGCAAATATGTTAGAATAAAAAACGCACATGTAAGATCGAGTATAAGACGTAAAAATGAAGAAATAGATGAGACATACCGAATTAGATCGCGACGAAATATGATAGTTCGTTTCCTTAGTCAACCACCCGATCAGGATTACTGCGATAGTGCCGATGAATGAAAGATAAAAGTCATCCCTGAAAGTTTTCTCTTTCGCGAAGATATTGACTAAAGTTATTTTCGTTTCGAACACTGCTTGATTATCAGAGAACACACATTTCACGATGAATTCGTTTTTGCATCATTTCATCACATTAGACATTGCAATATTAATTACTATTGTACTGTTAAATATCACAAAATTAGTCTCATTTATAACTATAATTATTTATTAACGAGTATTTCCGTGAAAAAAGTTCCATTTATCAAGGGAATATTTATTCTTTTGACCTTGCCGCACAATTTTAATAACGTCATCGCGTGTCATTTGTATAATGAAATTACTTTGTTTGATTAGTAGCTTACGCTGGGTAAAGAGTGAGCTTGGCTAAAGCACTTCTGTGATATTTCATTTTGTATTAATTATTTCATCTTCCTTTCGTTATTTCTTTTTTTTTTATTGTCAGTTCAAGAAAGAGATGTAATACTGGTTACTAATAAAATATAGTGCAATGGAAACTTTTAGAAGACTTTTTTTAGCAAATTCTCGTAAGCGATAGTGCTTCTATCATTATAACATAATTTATCGTTACTTTGACACGCGGTTATTGACGCAGATGGGGAAAATAAACATGCTACGCACCTATTTAATTTTACGAGACGATTAAATACAGTGTTATATGTATAGTCTGCCGAATAAAAGAATACAGTTCCGTCGGAAGAAATCAATGATGTCAAAGTATCTGTAACATGAATTTTTGATTGATGTTAATTTTTTATTTATTCCCTAGAACTGGACATGAAAGAGGACAAGAGGTGTTTTTTCACGTCCCGTTCAGACGAATAAATAAAGAATTAATATCAATCAACAATTTATGCTACGGATACTCCAAAAATTCTTCTTCAAGCACAAACTTTCCGTTTATGAAAAACGCAGGTTCGCACAGGTGGCGTCGTGACGCTGAGCTTCGGCTTCATTCGACGCGCGACGCTTCCTCGTGTCGCAGCGTCGCGACGCCTGAGTGTCATATCTTTAAAGAACGCGCTACAACGCACATTGTTTGACCCGTATAGTTCATTTGATCAACACAAAAATGAAGCGAATCAGACCTAATCAGGTACCTCTTTACCTTTAATGCACTGCCGAATAAAGCACTATCGATTTGATGGGTTTCAATCTTTCAAACCTAAATTTTTTAAGAATTCTTTTTGTTTTAAAACAAAAACCATCTTTTTTAGACGTGCTTAGTAGAAATATTCATAAATTTTAATATTAGCCATTAAAAATTTAATATAAATATGTCGCGCACAAATTTATCTTTCTATTTTTTTTTGAATTTACAAAGAAAGTATGTTAATTTTAACTGGCAAGAATTCGTACAACATGCCTTTATTTTCATTTAATATTAGACTATATAAAAAATAATTGCTAAGATTGCAAAGTCATATCGACTGCTTTCGCGCAACGTTCGCGATTAAAGTCTGAAAGGCACAATTTAATTTCTCTCTTTGTTTAGACTTAAAAAAATTAATTTGTCAATTTATATTAACAAATGTTTTTTGTAAAGATATGTAGAATTAAGTATTCATTACTTTAAGAATATACTAATCAAACTATATACATTATCTATAACATACGGGTTATTGAGTCAAAAACATTATTAATCTAATTTTTATAATCGCCTTATATTTGAAATAATATATCATACGCAAAACAAAATTATATGGGAAACTGCTAAACAACATTTACTCATATTTAAAAATACATTGTAGTTTCTGATAAGAGTAGAAAATATTTACTAATGCTTAAAATAATAAAAAACGTCATATATAATTAAAGAATACTTAAAAATAAATGTGCTTCAAAACGCAAAAACACAAATGAAAAACATGTAAATCGCGATGCTAGAATTTATACGATATATGATATATGTTTATGTTCTATTAAATATTAAATTAATCCAAGCGCATTGGCACTCTGAATAGATAAAAAGAGGGAATTCACCGATGGCTTTTCTTAGAAGGAAAAGTCCAAATGCGTGTACTGAATTAATAATGACAAGATTTACAATAAGGAATAAATAACCGACGAGATCCAGTGCGATAGTGCATAATGAAATCATTACCGCGACGTAATTGCCGAAACCGCAGTACGATATGATCTTTTGCAATATAGCGAGAATAGTTAGCATAATTCTGCTTCAATAATTGAAGAGAATCTACCGGAACGTAAACTCTCGACAAACTACATATTGGAGCTTTCTGACTACATATTGGAGAATCTCTATGCGCGCTTTCGACTAATATTACGTTTCGCGTGTCATGAATATCGCTATTACATCCTGACCCGCCAATCATCCATAAAGCACTATGAATATGCAAGCGAAAATATATTTGAATGCTGCGGAACATGCGAATCAATAACAAAGAGAAGCCGGTAATGACGAAATGTCTGTGAAACCTGTCGGCTTTTTCTCTCTCTGATCCTCTACAGAATGTATAAAATACGTTAGAAAGCTCTCATGTTGATTTCAATCAATAACAGATGCAATTGCACATATTTTATAAAATGAGATAGAGTGTCACGTGCTTTAAATAAAAAATTATTTTGGTATACTCTTATAAATAAACTACGTCATTCATGATTATCCTATATTTATAATATTTATCTTTAAATTTGGAGATTGTCATTCTGTTGCAGGGGCTGAAATGCATTCGGCCGTAAGAAATTGGTTGAATCGTGGCGAACTTGAGAGACTCGAAAATGTCGTATTAGAGGGTCGGGGCACGCGCTTGTTAGGCGAACAGTCGCAAGATCTTAAAACTCGTGTCTTCCTGAAGGGACTCCCCAACTATTTGGTAAGTAAATAGAAAAGATTTATTTTAAACAGTCACTAAATTTTACCAATCTAAAAACTTATTGAAATTTGTTGTTTTTTTTTTTAAATTAATATTTTGATGAGTTTTCTAAATCATTGTTTCATTTTGAAAAATTATTCTCAAGATGCAAAAATTCCATTAGAAGAAAAAATATTGATAAAAATCAAATAAATTTTTCGATTTATATATATTTCAGACGAAGATCTCTCAAGTGCACGATGCTGTTGCCCGCGGCTCGTTAGCTGATACGCAGAAGATAATTTTTGAGGAGCCGAAGAAAAAGCTGGCGATTGCGAAGGATTCATGCGGGGTACCTTTGTTACACAAAGCGGTGTACTATGATCAACCCGAGATAATTTTTTGGCTCATAGAAAATTACCCTATTACGCCACAACAGAAAGATAGGGTAAATCTTTTCCAACATTGCTGTCCATAAGCCATAAAAACAAATTACGCATATTGTAAACAAATTTTACTGCACACTCAACCGGATTCAGTCAAAGCATCTTAAAGATAATAATAAAGAGCTTGTTAAGTGGTAGCAGTTTTTGTAAAACTGATCCATTAAATTTCTTCCTTTTTAAATTGCTCTGTTTCAAAAATAATATTTGCCTTAATCATCTTAATTTACATGAGCTTTAACACAGTAACGGAAGTATTAACTTCGATCGGTTATCTTCTATAATTCACAAGGTTCGCCTATTTTTACGGTGGAATCGTGTCGCAGCGCAAACGCATGTCAACTTGCTTGAGAAGAAGCTTTTGAATAATCGAATAGTACTTCTTCCTAGCAACGTTTGTCACGGCCCCGCATCGCGTGACGCTGATAATAACGAAGTGTAAACCACCTGTTCTTTCCTTGCCAGCCATGAGCTTACACTAACAGATATATACAAATACACAAAACGAATTTTGATCTGACGTATATCAACTTTAGCATACATATATGTTTGACACCCTCTCGTCAAAGACATAAATTTTGAAAATTTTAAACCCATTTATAATTATATAATTATACGTCATATGTCATTCTTTACGGTTTAGGAGGGACGAACAGCTTTGCATTATTGTTGTGTGTGTAAAGATCCTGAGCCAATCTGGGATAATCTCATAGAAGGTGGATGTGACGCTAGTATTTGTGATAAGAAAGGACACCCGGCCTCCTATTACTTGGAACATCCTGAGGAAATTGAATTACCAGAAGTAGAGATGACAACTCGACGAAGAAAAAGTACCGCAAAAGATAGTGAGTATTGTTATTTCATTTTAAAAGATTAAAATGTTAAGTATATTCTTGATTTTATATTAAAGGAAATTAATTTTCGATCGACAATTATATTTTTCTTTTGTTCTACATCTCTCTCTGTCTCTCTCTCATGCAAGATTTTATTCTCTAAAACTTTTAAATATTCTCTAAAAATTTTGGAGTGAAATCTTACTATAAAGAATTAAACCATTTTTTTTTCAAGATTGACTTCAGTTTTCTCTCTTTAAATTGAGATTCTATTTCAAAAAATTCAGAGAGTATACATAACATCCCTCTTTTGTAAGAATTAAGTAGATAGGCTAAGCGCTTTTACAAAGTGTCTTGAATTGTTAAAATATAGTATACACATACACAGCATTTCTGACTTTTTACAATCAATACCAGTGGATAAGCGTGTTTAAATATTACATTAATTTTGCTAGTTCGTCAGCAAGTCGTTAAGACAATTTCGAGGAAACGTCGCGAACGATTGAATGAACAACCTTGCGGCTGATAGAATACTATAGCATTTTTCGCCTGTTTCCTACTTTCGCGAATATAGATTCTTCGCCTTATACCCCACATATCTGTTTCTAATGACCATGAAGAATCGATAGCACATAAATTTGTAAGGCAAGGCTAACTGCGGCGTTCGATACAGAGACACGGTCGGAACGAAGAATCACTTCGTGTGAATTATAAAATCTAAATGAAAGAGCAAAGCTCTGAATCTGTTCAGTCGCAATTACACTACAACTTTATGCTATGTAAAAATTATTTCATTCTTAGGCTTAACATCTCTTAAACATTCATCGCACTAAACCAAATAGAAAAAATTGTAAAAAAAATTACAATGTAACGTAATTACATGGAGGAAATACGACTATCATTACTTTTTTGTTCGTTGAATGACTTCAGAAACAAATAGGTCATGGATCGATCTATCGTCCTAACAACGGTTGAGTTCTAATTTCACCAATGATAAGAACTCATCTTCTATTCTTCGATCGTACTGCCATGCTAGCAATTACGCTCGAGGATTGAAGTCAAAGCAATTTCCTGTAAATATACTTTCCAACGATCAACTTCTCTTCCTCCTATGCGATTGTACATAAGAAATTCTTGTAAAAGTTTGTGCATAATACAGCAAATAGTTTGAACTACTTGTATTGTTTAAAAAATAAATTAAGTGATTTTTCGTTAACATGGCTATTATTTTCATGTACAAAAATAATTTAATAGATATAATTCTTCCTTTCGCTATAAATTCAGAGATTAGTCTTGCACAATTAGAACTACCAATTATATTTTCACACAATATAGACTATCGTTTTTGTATTTACACGTTTAATTTCTCTGAGAAATCTCGCGTGATCGTAGAATTTCACGAACCATTGCGGCAATAATAATTTATTAGAAATACTGAAGCATGACAGGTAAAGAGTTGTAAATAGGTACAGTAAGCGCAAAAACAAGTTCTCTTTATCGTGTAACAAAATGTCTACATACACTGTATGCGCAACTGGAAACGTGTCAGTAATATGACAAACTCCGTGCACTACTCCACCTTCTAGAAAATTTATTAACTAGCAACTGTGCTTGCCATCCGTGTATTCAAGACGATATAAAATATTAAATGTAGCGTGCATGCAACTATTATCGAAGGCGCGCATCAATAGATCTAACCGAGCTACAATTCATTTTTAACAATAGATATTCCTGAATATAGCAAGCAGAAGTATTTTCGATATATTTGCAGAGATGCCAACTATCAACTTTCGCAATTTAAATTATGCAAGCAATCTCTTTACAATATAATATAACTATACTTTTATGAAATTATAAATATCGCAATAAAATTACATTCACAAGAAACAAATCTGCTGAGAATAATAATCATCAACACATCTTTTTGTCATGAGTAAACATGTGACATTCTAACAGAATTCACGATTTTCTTGTCATAAAGAATATGTAACATTTCAAGTAACACTCTAGCGGAATAGTTCTGGCATTTAATATTTACTGAGCCATAAACTTCTTGTGAATTTTAAATATTTAATGTCTTTGTAATAGTACGTAGCTTGAGGAGTTATACACCGTTCATGAATACTTCCTGAAAACATCGCTATTTAAATGCCATAGTTATGAAAAGTAGTCGAATCCATCTTATACTATAATATTTCCGCGATGATTATGTGAGATTGTTTATTTTTACTTCATATTCTGTTCATTGTTTAGCCAAATATAAATTGACTTGATATATCTACAATAATCTCCAAAATTTATCGAAAGAGTAGTACAATAGTTACAATTAGCTAAACTTCTATTTTGTAGTTGATCTAATTATCTGTTAAATTGCATTGAACGCTTTTATCAATTATATTGTTATAATAAAAAGTGTCACTGCTCCAGATTCTTTAGTATAAATGAAATCGTGAAATTTCTTTATCTAAATCGTAACATTCATTTTAGATATGGATTTTAAACCCTCCAATATCAGGATATGGATACACAACAAAGACATCGGAAAATTACAACAAGTATTGTGGGAGGGACATGGATCTAAACTTCGATGCGAGACCAGCAACAATTCGCGAATAAGAAGATTTTTAGAGGCCGTGCCCTTTATTATGGTATGTTAATAAATAAATTACACATATTTTTCAATTGTTCAATTACTTATAAAAAAATTAAAATATTAATATTGTGGGGTAGCCAAAAAATTATTAAATAAAATTATTGTGATTTCGGCAGGGCACAATAAAGGATATTCACGCAACAGTTATTAATAACGATTTGGAGGGTCTCAAGACAAAATTGGAGGAACCTATTTTGCCCATTATTTTATGTGGCAAAGATGGAAATGGCTTAAATGCCCTTCACAAAGTAAGCTCTTATGACGAAAATCCAATGAAATTTTTCAACTGTTAAAATTCGAAAGAAAAAAGTCTGTTCTATCTTTCTTATCACAAGGCTGCTGGTTTGGGATATATAGACATCGCACGTGAAATCCTTGAAAGATGTCCTTCAACAGTAATGGCTCAGGATAACGAAGGAAAGACTCCGCTGCATTACGCAGCTGCACTTAAGGACGACGGCGTTATGTATGATCTTTTGACAGAGCACGGGGCCGATGAAAGTAAATTGGATAACGTGAGTACCATTCGATTATTTATAATTAAAATAAAAGAAATAATTAATCGATAAGATACTACCACAACTCTATAAATCTTGCTGCTAATCAGAGACAAAAAGCACCTGCATTTTACAAGAATCGCCCTTCGGACGTAGACCTGTCGAATTTGTCAATGATACCGGAAGCGCCTCGAGTTTCCGATACTTATCCCAAAAGTTGGGATTGGAGAATCTTGGAAGGAGCCATTATACGAGGCATGAAGAAGGTTAACAGTGACGATAGCGCTTTCGGTAGTGCCGAATCCACAATGAAGGATTCGGATGAGAAGGTATATTTATCATCGTTGTCTACGTTTATCTGCACGATATTCTGCCTGTCTAAGTTTGAATTTAAGATATATATTTCTTATTGTATAATACACATCTATAGATTAATAACTATTTAGTGCACTATCAAATCACCTATAGCCGGACATAGAATGGCATCCCGGTCGAAATGTAGTGTCGTAGTCAGAATGAGTAGTTATATATTTAGCCCAAGATTTTTTCTTTTTTTTCTCTTTCGATACGAGGGGGGTTTCCAGTTCGTAATTCCAGGTCAATGATATGATGGATTATATATGCGAGATTTGGTGAAACAGAAAGGCGATGATGAGCAAGAGAACGAGGAGGCTGAAACTCCGAATGGAGACGAGGAGGCTGAGAATCCAAATGGAGAAGTGGAAGCACAGAATGAAGAAGAACAAGAAGCAGAAAATGGAGAAGAAGAGGAAGCAGAAAATGGAGAAGAAGAGGAAGCACAAAATGAAGATGAGGCAAATGATGCAGGAGACGAAAACGAAGCCGCAGAAGATAACGAGGAAGATGCCACGAATGAGAATGACGAAGAACAAGAAGAAAAAGCATCATCGGACGATGACGTGGTAACTGGACTTGTCGCGGAGCCAACAAAAGACGAGGAGGATGGGCCTGAGGCCGTCGATAATGAAGATGGTATCTATGAGGAATCCCCAAAGATCGAGGAAATCGCTGCCAATGATGAAACCATCATCGAACACGAAGAACGAAACGAACCTAGTACTGGCGATTCTGGCGTTGACGATCCTGCGCAAGATGAAGAGCAGGTATTGTCTTAATCGAATTGTCACGATCACTGCACTGCGCCTTGTATAATACAAAGAAGAAGCCGGGATATCTCAATCTATGTCCGTCCCTGAAATTACGATGTTATGTAATATCTATGTATAATATGTAATAGTAATTATACGTTCAATAATAATATTTTTTAAATTCAGAAAAAATTTGCAATTCACTTCCTCCAATAAAATGAAGAAAAGAAATTCTCACTCTCTAAAACTTTTAGAGTAAACTGTCACTCGAAAGAGTAAAATCACACCTTTAAAGACTGAAAATTGAAACATTCTTTTCAAGATTGGCTCAATTTTCATTCCTTAGAGTGAGATTCACTCTAAAGACTTTAGAAGGTACAACAATTCTTTAGATAGAAGTCTATTTACATATAAGACTCGATTTGCCCGTAACAAGAGTTACCAGCAGACATTTTTTTTTACGGACACCCTGTGTGCTATACACACATACGCAGAGTATGTGTAGTAGGAGCGACAAGAGACACACGATCGATTGCATGTAGAATTCCCATATGCGATTAATATCTTCTATCGATCGTGTGGCTCTTAGCCACGCGCATGATTTTGTACCTGAATATGACAGCAGGTCATCGTTGGCGAACACCAGGAGCCTGCGGAAGTAGAATTGACTGAGGGTAGTATGGGACGGGATCTAGAAGTAGACAGTTTATTAGAGAATGACGATATGGAACAATTAGCGACTCTCGTTCTCAATGGCGAAGGCCGACGATTGGTCGGACGACAATGCGGAAATCCTGAACTCCAAGCTTTTATCGACAATGTTCCAACTTATATGGTATGTCATTGTTGCAATAACGGAAAGCAAGAGCGGTATATGTATATATTTATAAAATATATGTTATGTAATATATTAGGGAAAAATTCGTACCGTTCACATGGCAGCGCGAGAAGGAAATCTTCGAGACCTACAAAGCGCTCTGGATCGCCGTAAATTCGCGGTAGCACGAGATGAATCATCACCCCACGGTGCAACTCCATTGCACGTGGCCGTTATTTTTGGAAATACCGTTATCATTAGGTATTATTAACATATTTTCACATATATATAATTTATGTATATAATATATAGACACACACGTGCATATTTAATTTTATATTTAACATACATTTTATGTTTGCTCTGCGTTTTGATGATAAAATTTTATAATTTTTTCCTTATCAATCAACAACACTTTTAGAGAATGGAAATCTATGTTTAAAATCTTACTTTTCCTTGAGTAAAACTTGTTACAATTAATTATTCTATTATATCTTTTGCTTCAAAATATATACAACAATGTTTCAATGCCACTACAGTAACTTTCCCATCCTATAAAGGTTAAAAATCTCGTTATTGTCTGATAAAAGAAACATAATACAAGGGCATTACTTGATGAGTAACGCGTCTATATAACTGTTAGACAAACCGATCGTCGATAGCTCATGATTTATCTCTGCCATATCGATAGATTTTTATTCGATAATGGGCTATAAACCGGCCATTATTAAATCCATTCAGTTGAATAGTTTATACTTGATTTAGGTATCTGGCAGGGAGGTTTCCAGAAACTACCAACGCGATCGATCTCGATGGGCGAACTCCGTTACATTACGCTGCGACGATCGCAGACAACGGTCATTACTATAATCTTTTGCTACATTTGGGTTCCAATCCTTTAATAAAGGATAACGTGAGTACTCTTATGACATCTTAATGCATTCTTTATTATTATCCACGATCGCGAATAGTGAAATTTTGTGCCCTCCGACTAAATAATAGAGTTAAAAATTTTGAATTCTAATAGAAATAGAGAATTAATTTAATATTAAGAAAGTACTCGCAGAATTTTCACAAATTAGAATAGTTATTCTGCTACAAGCAGAGTGTTGATGAAACCTTGTCTTTTGTCACATAGTTCGGACAAAAGGCAACTATTCTGCTACAAGCAGAGTGTTGATGAAACCTTGTCTTTTGTCACATAGTTCGGACAAAAGGCAGATTATTACAAGCGAAGTCAAAGCGACCTATCACACAAAAAACTTCTTCGCAGTTTCGGGGCTAGCGAGACGCTCGCCGACGAAATGTTGACGGATAAAGGTATTTCTTGATTTAGAGCATTTCAAAGCACCATTAGCAATATAAGTAATTTAGAAAAAATCGCGACATAAATCGTTCGGGCGACAACACTCTTCATGTTTTGTGTCCAAAAAGATGTTTCTAGTTTAGTCCAAATTAAAATCTCGTAAAAATCTTCGACAATGTCGCACTTGGCACGAATATTCTATATGTGTCGGGATTTCGTGAAATATCAATTAACTGTTTTCCGTTTGCACACAAAAACATTTCATACATAATCGATTTATATTTTTTAGATAAATGCAATCAGGTCATCCCTCAAATACCGCGTAAGAAACTTAGTCGAAATACTTGTTGAAATGTTTTCCATTTCTAATTTTCTGATTTTGATTGATTAGTGCTTTGTTCAATTATTTTTATAATAGCATGTAACCACAAGTCAACACTTAACATTTCAGCGTGTTGATCGAGCTAAGGTGTGAAATAGAAATTCGCTTATATACATTTTTATCCCCCAAATTAGTAATTTACATTAAAACGTTATAATTATTAGGTCATTATAATTATTGTAAGATTAAGAAAACGAAAATTTTAATCGTAAAGTGATTAGTTACCATTACCACAATTGCGTCAAAAGCATAAAGTTCTTAATCTTGCAATAATTATTTTTTTATACAAAACTAATCTCAAACATGCAAAAGATCATTGTCATAAATTGAAAAACCTCATCTTCTCAATGTCAAGTTCAAGTGAAGTATTTCACTTAAAACTCAATTTTCTAATATTTACTCTTTAATAATTGCCACTAACGTCACCGCAAAATTTGCTTATTCGCTTTCTTCATCAATCTTTCAACACCTTTCAACGCCGATGGTTGTTAACCCGACTGTTCTTTCAACCGTCTCTATTGCTGACTTGACCGAGATCTACAGTACCCGGAGGTGATATCTACTCAGCTCGGCGGGACGTGAGTGAGCCTGAGGTCCTGGCAACGCTGGAACGATGTTTCCGATTGCTGGCGGGCAACCGGCGATCGTCGATACCAAAAACCCCATCGTCGAACGCCGGTACACTAGTCGCTCGTTGTCTAAAACGGCCCGTGTTCGATTTGATCAAGCACCGTGTGACTCGCATGGATCACAATCTCTTTGACGTGATCTGGCCTTCTCTGAAAAGGTACGGTACTGTCACGGGCAATGGCAGCAAGACTAGCAGTGCCCGCTCGAACATCAGCAGCGTCGCAGACGAAGATCACGGTTATGGTGTGGTCGCGCCTGATTTTGAAAGTTATGTCGTCTTTACGGAGTTCTTCGATCCCTTCATTCGGGAGCTGCACTGCGTAACCGCGAGCGGCGACCTACCCGATCATTCGCTACCACGTTTCTTCAGCGAAAACGAAGAGGGCGAGGAGGGTCCGCCGGATGAAACAATCGTCACCGCAATCGAACAATACGATCTAGACCCGACTACCAAATATATCCAAGCCGGTATTTTAGAGTGCACTCGGAACCTAGTTAATTACTGCCTGCCGTTAACTTTAACAGTCAATCAGCTGGAAGAGGTCGAGAGGGAAATCACCAATCAACTAATGAGCCCAGAGATAACCGATCTGATGGCAGAAGGAAGTAGCGAGGACGAGGCCGGCACGTATTTCACGCTTAATGAAATTCTCGAGCAACCCAGTCAAATACGGGCACAATTGGCCGCAGCCGGTTTATTGTTACCAATCACGGAATACGAGCCAAACGACGAACGGCGTCTTCACGGTAAGCATTGGCCCTACGGACGTGGTGTGTACGTTACCACAGCCGGCGATCTCGCCGTATGGGTAAACATTCAGGACCACTTGAGGATCATCTGTCGTACCAACGAGAACCGGCCAGGTTTATTGGGTCGTGCTTATGTTAGAGTAGCTAAACTGATGATGATATTCGACCGGAGGCTGAAGTTCAAACGTGATCAGAAGCTAGGTTTTCTGTCCGCCCGTCCGCACACCCTCGGCAACACCATCAGATTCTGTCTAATCATACGATTCCCTGAACTTTCAAAGACGTCTGACAATTTGCGACACCTATGCGTGGTGCGCGGCTTGAACGTACGCGACACCGTGAAAAACGATATGGTGAGGATCGGCAATCAACAATCACTGGCCATTACCGAATTACAGACCCTCCAAGACTTTTCCAGAGCGGTGCACAATATCATCACGTTAGAAAAGGAATTATCGTTGAACAACTCGATGAAGATCGCCAATCTCATCACTGGCATATTCCGCAAGCGAGCGAACGTGTCGAGGAATCTTACGAAGACGTAGACGAATTGATGGTCACAATTTCAAGAGACAATAACATTAGATTTTAAGTTATTAAAAATGATCTATTTAATCATCTTTTTTCTTTAGAGACAAAATTGGCAAGCAACAGTTTGTTGAAAACAAACTGCATAAGGCAATGAAAATTATCGAAAATAATAATTTCTATAAAATGTATATACATATATCACATAACTCTCTCTTATAAAAAAAAATTGACCTGTTCTGAGGAATTTTACATAACAAAAACTTTTACTCTCATTGTCAGACGTATTTAGATACTAAAAAGCAAAATGACTGATTTTACCTTGATCGGTTATTCAAGAACACTAATGAACTTTGAGAATCTTTAAGATTTCTCTCAAGTCTTTCTATAAGAAACACTTACGCTTATTCGTGGAAATCTTCTGTGATAATTACCAGCCAATGTTTGATCGTCAATTACTCTTCACAGACTGAACTTTTTAAGTAATATTTAGACTATAACGAGCGAAAGGGAGAGAGAAATAGAGAGAAAAAGAGAGAGAAATGGGTTGGAAAGATGTGTGAACGTTGTTTTATTTCCTCTCGTGCACCCAGCGTCTCTCTTATGAAATTATACTAATTACACTCGTAGTCGCCCTATTAATCGGATTAACCGGCGACGAGATCGCAGGATTGCTGATTAGGTTAGTAAATAATCAGCATTATTGGTATATATTATACACGATACATTATCGCACAATATCTCACAATTGTATCTTGTAAATATTTGTTCTTTCGAAGTAATTCGGCAAATTGTAAAAATTCTGTATATTGTAATATTACTCGCGTAAGAGCAACGATTTTACATGAATTCTCTTCAATGTAAAATGTAATAAAATAAATATTTATTCAAATCAAGTCTATCAAATATAAACTAGCAGTAACATTAATGTTAATTTTTCACTCAACAATATAAACGTAATATAACACATATTGTACGTGACAATCATATTATTGAATAGAAATTATAACAATGATGTAATGTTACTATTAGTTAACGTTTACTAAATTCGTAATTACAACTGTGAGAATTATAGGAAATATGGTATTTCTTTCCTTTTTTTTACCTACAGATTCTCGTGTATCTTGTAAACATTCTCTTAATAAATTGTTGGTAAGCATGTTACTATTTTCATGTAAAGTCGAATATATAAAAATTTTTGAGACGATATTGGTGGCACAATAAGCTTAAAATATGTTAAAGTTTTTCCAATAGCTTCCTTTATATGTGATGCACGAGTCAATGTTCACACAAAATAAAAATGGCGAAGCACACGTCTTTCCAACTCATTCTATTATTATTCGTATTGAACTGGACCCATGTGCCCTTCTCTTTTATTCTTATTATTCTAAGCATCGTAATGTAAATTTGTTGATTAAAAATTGAACCAATAAGCGTATAAGTGTCAAATTGTAATTAATTTTTGTAAATATATACAAGTATAATATATTTTATACATTTTTATCATTATTATCCTGTGTTTTGTGTATTATGCAATAAAATATTTACTATAATGGAAGAGCAATAAATAAAAATTGATATTCTACTCAATAGTAGAAAATGACTTTATATTATTGATGAAACAATAAAAAATTGACATTTATACGTCTATTGATTGAGAATTGAGCGCGATTATAATTATTCATTATATAATACAGTATAATTCACAAATACACTTTTTCAGGCAAATCAATCGTGTTTGTTATGCAATTGTGCTTGTTTATGCTTTTGCACATTGAATTTAAGTTTGTATATGTACATGTATTGTATCATATTATATTAATCAATATTATCAATATTATTATTAATACTTATCAATATTAATTATGTATTGCTATCACGTATGCCGAGTTGCTATAATGCACAGAGTTCCATAATATATTTTTAATAAAGCTGAAAACAATTATTGCATGTATTGCAAGCGAGTATTGTATGATAAATTCTTCTAAATTATAGGGTATGTTAAGTTAGCACCCCAACTATAGTATAACTCAGGAGTTCTGATTAGAGTTCCCACTTCTTTTTGACGAGACGAAGAGTTCCCTATAGTTAATAATAAGAGTTCCGCTCAATAAACATTCTTTTTACATTTTTTAAAAATGGGGTGCTAACTTTTTACCGAATTTCGAGGTGGAATAGTTCTGAGAGGCTTAATAGCTTTAATTTGCGATTGCCTAGAGTTCCTGATATGTAAAAAAAATTTTTGAATATTAAAAAAAAAATTAAAAATTTTTGAAAAATTAATTTTTAGATACAATACTTAGTTCTGATGATAATTTCTGCTTCTTTTCGACGATACGAAGAGTTCTCTATGATTTTTAATGACATATGCACTTAATAATCATTTTTTAATAATTTTTAAAAAATGGGGTGCTAACTTTTTAACCAAATTCAAGGTCGCATAGTTCTGATCAGTTTAACAGAAGTATTTTGTGAATACCCAGAGTTCTTGATACATAAAAAACATTTTTGAAATATAATAAAGTTTAAAAAAAATAGTGGAAACATTTGAAAATTTTTTTGAGAGTACCGAGTAGTTCTGAGTAGCGTTTCTTATAGTTCTCGACGCGTTCTATCGAAAACTGTAAGGTGAAAAAGTAATCAGACCAATGGTTTGCAAGATACAGCGACATTTGTCAGAAGATCAACAATTTTTAGAGTATATCTCGGAAACCATTGGTCCAATCGCTTTCAGCTCTGATACTTTTCACAGAACTCGCCGAGAACTGTCCAGAACTCCGAACAGAACTACTCGGTACCCCTAAAAAATTTTCCGACGTGGGACTTGGAAAAAAATTTGAAATCAAAATTTTTTGGGAGTACCGAGTAGTTCTGATCGGAGTTCTGGACAGTTCTCGGCGAGTTCTGTCGAAAAGTATCAGGACTCAAAGCGATTGGACCAGCGGTTTCTGAGATATACTCACTTTAAAGATTGTTGATCTTCTGACAAATGTCGCTGTATCTTGCAAACCGTTGGTCCAATCGCTTTTCCACCTTGCAGTTTTCGATAGAACTCGTCGAGTACTATAAGAAACGCAACTCAGAACTACTCGGTACTCTCAACAAAATTTTTCAAAGATATCTACTATTTTTTTAAAACTTTATTATTCTTCAAAAATGTTTTTTATGTATCAAGAACTCTAGGTATTCACAAAATACTTCTGTTAAACTGATCAGAACTATGCGACCTTGAATTTCGTTAAAAAGTTAGCACTCCAAAAATTATTAAAAAATGATTATTAAGCGCATATGTCATTAAAAATCATAGAGAACTCTTCGTATCGTCGAAAAAAAGCAGAAATTATCATCAGAACTATCGTATCTAAAAATTAATTTTTCAAAAATTTTTAATTTTTTTTTTAATATTCAAAAATTTTTTTACATATTAGGAACTCTAGGCAATCGCAAATTGAAGCTATTAAGCCGCTCAGAACTATTCCATCTCGAAATTCGATAAAAAGTTAGCACCCATTTTTAAAAAATGTAAAAAAAAATGTTTATTCAGTGGAACTCTTGTTATTAACTATAGGGAACTCTTCGTCTCGTCAAAAGGAAGTGGGAACTCTAATCAGAACTCCTGAGTACTATAGTTGGGGTGCTAACTTAACATACTCTAAATCATAAGAGATTAAAATAAAAAAAAGGATTACTTTTTGCTTGGAATTTCATTGAAACTTTATCAAAAGTTTCACATGTTGTATAGGAATGTAACTATCATTTTTTCAATAAAAAATACATTGAAAATATTAATGCTAAGAAAAAGAATAACGTGCATGCTAGTTGGATTAATAATAAAATTTTAACTTATGACTCAACTGTACGGAAATAAAAAACTTCGTTGAAGTATCTAAAAATTAAGCTAGATTATAACTAAATCTAAAAATAATTTTGTTTGAATCAAAACAATTATGTTAAGATGCTGAAGCTGATTACTAGAACATCAAAATTTTTTAAAGCATTGCTCATCATGCTTGAGTTAACTAGTTTCTTACATAATTATTTTGATGATACAACAAAATTATTTTCAGATCTGTATCTAGCTAAATATTTAGATACTTTATCAAAATCGTTCTTTCCGTACAGTACATTAATTTTTAAATAACATGTTCACAATATTTTCTAAATTATTATTTGACAATCTAATGGATTTATTTTACAGATGATAGTGGAATTGACATTCCAATATTTCACACGGAGGAAGGACATTACTTAGCATCATGTAAGTATTATCGTATATAATTGCAGCAAATCTTCTTAAAATCAATGTAACAAATCTGTGGTTCTTTAGCATTAGGAGATCCCCTAATTAAAGGATTAACAGAAGTAGCTAACGCACGTCCAAAGGATCCAATTACATACCTTGCGACATATTTGTACAATTTTGCTAGCAAGAACAAAGTCAATGAACAGGTATGTGTTCGCTTCGATAGAATCGATAGAAGAATTAAACACAGAATATTATTATTATCGTATTAATATTAATGTTGGAGTGTTTCACGTTGATTCTTTTTACTCTGCTTTCAGGAGTCCGATGTCTTCATTATGCCCGATCATGAAGAAGAAAATTTGGATAATAATATCGAGAACGATGTATTCGACGATGACGCCGGCTATCCTCAAAGCCCAAATTCGGATATACCTGAGTCCACGTTTAGCAATCCTAACAGAGTATGTAAATAAAAATTTTTTGAGCAACTTTCGTAGCATAAAATTTTTTAGAATTTACATTAAAATTTATTTGCAATTTTCTTATTTACAACACGGAAAAATACTTACTGTACGCGAATAATAATTATTTATTCCAAGTTTTTTAAAAGTTGATATACCCATAAATCATAAATTTATCACAAGTATCAAACTTTATTAAAAATATATTTTAAAATCTATTAGAAAATTTAATACTTTAACCAATATTATTAAATTAAAATAAATTTAATTGCTTATTATGTATAAAGTCGTTTTTTCGATGAAATTTTATAATTTTAAATATTAAATCTTATAATTAAAAATAAAAATAAGAAGAAGGAGCATATACCAAAAATTAAATTAAAAGTTTTTTGTTATATACTGAAGATGATCACATTAATGACCGAAACGTTTATAATTACGTAATTTTTAGTATTATTAAATACACACGAGATTTTCGCTACTTTGAACCAGCGTGTAGTATATGCTCCTTCTTCTTATTTTTATTTTTAACTTAACCACTTGATCTTTAAATCACTTATAATTAAAATTTTATATTCCTCAAAAGAAAATAAATTTTTTAAGTAAATTTACAATTAATGAATTTTTCTAAAATTTTTAATAAACATATTTTAAGATTTTTAAAGAAAATATATATTAAAAAAAAAAATAGTTTTGTTGTTAAAGATAATCATTACTTGAAAAAAAGTAAAGCGAGTAATGTAATCACTTTTTTAGCAATGAAATGATATTCTTTTGTATGTAAAAATAAAAATAACTTTGCAAAATGGCAACAAATAAAAATTAATGTTTCTTAGGACGAACATGGGCAAAGTATGATCCACTTCGCAGCGGTTCGTTCCTATTCAAAGGATGGCTTGTATCATCTACTGCTGGAGTCACAAGTCAACGTCGGTTTCAGGGACGAACTGTATCGGACAGCTAGAGACGTTGCCGAACAGGCAAATATCCAAGAGAACATCGAAGAGATTGATCGCTTCATTATTTATCTTGCAGCAAGAGGTAAGAAGAGAAAAATACAGCGCACGTAAAAGTTAGAAGAATTTATTTCAATCCGATTTTAATCCGATACGCAGGAGAGACTGAAAAGTTGGTCGAGCTTCTACTTGAGGGCTACGATCACATTCTAGACGCCGAAGACGAAGGAGCAAATATCATCGAGGTGGCCGCGCAAAGAAGTCACGAAGCTACCGTACAATTTCTACAATCAATTCCTAATTATGTAGTAAGTTGGCGTACAATTTGTAACAAAAAATATTATTCTGTGAGTTATGGCTTAACGTAATCGTCTAATATATATTTTAGAATCAACGCGAAGAAGTACATGCTGCTGTTCGGGCCAACGATGAGAAACGTGTAAAGGAACTTTTGAGTAAAAGCAATGGGGGTGGGAAATTGCTGGCTGTTGGAAAGAATTCGATTAGCCGATGCGCTTTGCATATCGCTGTACTTCAAGAAAATGAAGAACTTGTCAAGTTTATCGCAACAACGTATCCAGAAACGTTACGCATCGGTGATAACGTATGAATCATTGAAAAAGCACATCCGTAAACTATATAGCGTCGAGATACTGCCGTATCTCTTGATAAATAATGAAAAAAAATGTAACCCATTTAATCCCGTAAAAGAGTCGCTTAGAATAACTAAGCAATGTAAATCTCTAATGTTAACTGTAAACATGATTACCAATCGTGTTTCTAGTCAGCATTACAGACAAATCATTAATTAAAATGATTAATTGATGACTGTTATACGATCAATACTAAAAAAGATATATTCTAAAAAAAAATAAGAAATGCTGCAATAAAATACAAGGAACATTAATCTTTGTTTTAGTTGGAGAGAACGGCTCTTCATTACGCAATGGGCGTGACGTCCGTGGAGGTCTTGAGTAATATATTGATTAAAGCGGGTGCGAAACGCATTGTCAAAGATTTGGTGAGCCGCGTATATATGCATTTCTATCGAATAAGTGACAAAACAAAGAGCTAATTTTCTTGGCTTTCAGAAATCCCGGCAACCTTCATATTACTTCATGAATAAGTCTGACATCGAGCGACTTCAAGAAGAGGAAAAATCCATTCTTGCATAAATTATATAATGTTAAATATGCACCGTCTCCGTAATAATACGATCACACACTTTGATATGTTCATGCATTCCATTGAAATGTTATATTGACAAACGAAGGCCGATGAGAAAGGAAAAATCTATATCAATAAAGAATGCGAACAGATAAGTTCGTAATACGTATCGATTTATAATGTCAAATGTAGAATAAGTGTATTTTGAAGAACCTTAAAGATGTTTCTATTATTTAATATATGTATTCTATGTTATGTTTTATTTGTACATACACTAGACAAAGAATACTTTGTAAAAAAATTTTCGTTTATTAGGCTAGCGATCGTGTAACGTTTTCCCTTAGGCGAAAACGTGAAAAATAAGCTATCATTAAAGATAAAATTTTAACTTTTTACGTTTCTCCATCCTCCGGGAATAGTTATACATTGCCCAGGACCTGAATTAATTCTCGACCCCTATTAAAAGTACGAGTATTAGTATGTATAAATCATCAAAAACATACGAAATTATAAATTATATGAACTTTGTCAAATGTCGACAGTTTAGTGCCTTATAAATAAATGTAATGAGACTGCAACACATATATAAAACTATCATTTTGCTTAATTCTACTAAGCATGTAATTGTAAACAAATAAAGGAATGGAAAAAAGAAAGAGAAATAAATTCAGGATTTATTATATAAAGGTAATTGATGTCTTTGAAATGTAACTTCAAATTTGTTGATTATTGCGCTATTTATTGTAATTTAAATGAATGCTTAACAATCTTAAATTAAGTTGTGCTTATCCGATGCATTACTTAAGATAAATTGAGATCAAAATATTTAACGCTCCTGAATAAAATTCTTAACGTTGGTCTCGGTGGCATTGTTCTGTCGTATAATCATAATATATTCCTCGGTGATCTCTTCGGGCTGAATTTTGTTAAAGTACATCTCTTGCTCCTTGTATACATAGTGTGTATCATCGAAGTTAAAATGCAATCCCAAAACTATATTTAACGCGGAGGTGTCATATGCATGACAACCAGAATATCGATATTGTGGCTTTTTGTTGAATCTACAGCCTGCTGATTGCGCGCCTACAAATATTCAATTAAAAACTTAACATACAGAATCATTTATTAATATATACACACTTATATAAAATGATAGCAACACATCAACATCAAATTTAGAGAAAGAGAGAGAGAGAAATTATATAAATATATAAATTTAAAAAAAAAAGTACCTACCAATAGGGGAAATACAATCTCTCGTCAATGCACACTGTACCCAAGGTAGCATTACTTTTTCTCTAATATCCTTAAAATTACTGATTATTAAGTGTGATGCTCTAATCAGTGGGAGAAAGAAGAAACTCTCAGCAGAGGCATGAAAGTACTCATACATCTTTGGATGTGTTAATGAACTAATGGCGTGCCTTGTAGGCCAAGTTAAGATTCCATATTTTGGACAAAGATATTTCGCAATGTCTGAAGAATTCAGGCGTACATTGGAATCCATATAAATTATACTACCTAGCGTATTTAAAGCTGTCTGTGACATAAAAGCATTATTCAATTAGTATCTTCTTTCTGAAAACCTTTTCCAACAAACTTTTTCAACTTTTACTCACTTGAATTACTAAAGGTCTATAAACATGCAGCGTGTCATCTTCAACGTGAGCAGGAAATGGACTTAGATCAAAGTGAGTTACGTTACATTTTGTAGAATTACAGGCAAGTCTAACATTTTGTAAGGAATCTTCATTTAAACCGACGCTATAAATTACAATACTATTATTTGGCAAAAAGTGGCTGACGTTTCTAACGAAGCCATAAATATATTGCTCGTTCCCAGGCCTTACGAGCGACACAACCGTCACATTACAAAATTTGGGACTGATCGGCGTGGTGGTTGTCTGTCCATCCAAACCAAGCAACGCAAGATACTTGGAATCTGTCACTAGACGTTTCTCCTCAACATCTTTTAAATTTTCCTAAAAGCAAGATTTTACATGTGAGAAAAACAAGAAAAAATAAATTGCAAAGTTGAGGAGTTACTGAATATTAATGGATTTTTTTTACTCAACTTTTTATACAGTTCTTTTTCTGTCCAATGTGAAAAAAGAACAGATAAACTGTGTAAAAAGTTCATTTAAAAACAATAGGTTTATTACACTTGCCTGGAAGCTCCGTAACTGTTTGTGAGTCTCCGTCACTATAGTTTGAATGGAAGATCGTTGATTGCTGAAGGCAATAAAAACAATGCTGCTCCCTGCTATGCAGATAAGCAACAATAGCAGGCCTTTGATACGCATCGCTCATCGTTTAATAAGATTTTGTGGCCAATTGGAGACAATAATATACCGACTACGTTACGTCAAGAACCACTTTAGGTTAGTTTCTCGTCGCAACTTCATAATACGTCACGTTGCGAAAAATTGAGCACTGTAGTAGGACCCTATATCTAATGCATGAATGTAAAACGCGGTTTATTGGCCTAATGTTTACAAATTTACGGACGATTAGATCAAGGCCTTTGATAACAAATTATTTCCGTGAGTCTAAGGGACCTTTTCCACGTAAGCGATTGCATCTTACATAAAACACGACTAAACGCGATGTGAAAACAGGTAATGGTACCAAGTACGCCAGAGGTCAGAACTAGAATGCGGCTTACCTTCAAGTCAAATGGAAGGGATACACATTCACAAAAGAACTAAAGAAGATACGCACGCACACACATACACATGTGCGTCGGAAGCTTCGACCATCTTCCGATAATATAGAAAAAGACAAATAGATAATCTATTTTTTCTCACGTGCTAAACTTACAATACCGCAAGTTTAGCATGGCTTTCCAGCTCAGAACCACATTCCGATATACATTGTCATTGAAAATCTATAGTTCGTGTTACGTGTATCATAGATTTTCATTACTAACAATGTACATTGGAACACAATCTAAAATATACGTACTTAATTCACTATGTACTTGCAATGATTTTATATAAATAATAAGATATGGTTAATGTAATGTGTTGCAAATGCTTCGAAGTTTGAAATATTTTTTGATTGGTTAGTTTGTAAAATTCTTTCTTTTGATTGGTCAATCAAATGCTTCAAAGTATTTCTAGTGAGACTTCGACCGCACCCATAGAGAAAAAGATAGCTATGACTATCGCATTTTATACAATAATTAACTTATCTTTGTATTAATAATCAGTATTTAAATTTAGAACTTAATAAATTACATTTATCAAAGTATTCAACCTCTAGATTACATTTATGTTGCATAAAAATTCAAGAAGTTTAACTAAAAAAACGTGTTTACATTATGTCTTACATCTATTATCTGGAAATCGATCTTACAATTAGATTCAAAGTTATAAAATATTTATTACTCAAGGCTATTTTAAAACGCGATATTGATTGTGTAGTATCATTTTAATTACTACATAAAAAGATATTAGTTAGATATTTATAAAAATATAACAACACTGCATAATGAATCGAATAGAGATAGGAGTAGTAATGTAGTCTGGTAACCCCTCTACAAAACTAGATTTTTAAAATTGTTTTGTTAAAAAGCATTATGTTACAAAATTGTATATTCATAAAAAATAATAAAATATTACAGAATGTATATATATACGTACACATAACTTGTGCATATATAACTCAGTACTACAAAATCTATAGTATCCACATATAGTATGAACTGTAGATTGACAGTAGAGCTACCATTGATTTATCGAATAATTATTTTTATATATGAAAACCTCGAAAAAGAGGCCGGCAAAGAGTATACTTAGGAAGCGCTACATTATTAAAATGTTATTTTATATATTGATTGACTTGTAAGTACTTCGAAATGTGTACAGCCAAATAAAATATTAAATAGCGAACATACAATTGTATACATATTCGCGTGGTAATGTGCAGAAAAGACATATATTTATTAAAATGACGAAATAATATCGTAAATATGTCAATTAAGTAGCTAATTGTTTCTTGGAATTAATGTGAGAGTCATATCAATTATACTAGTAATAATATTTTAAAATAAAGATCTAGATTATCATTTATCTATACTATACTCCATTTATGAAATAACAGAAAAAATAAGATGGCTTTTATATAAAGTTATCTTTTTTTTCTATTATTGAACAGACAATAAAATGTAAAGAGAAAAAGAGAGAAAAAAAGAGTTGAACAAAATTCAATTAAAAAGAACAGATTCAATGTAATCAAATGCAAAAAAATCTTGTGTCAAAAATAATTTCATTTATATTATTCGGTACCTACATAATTATAGAACAATCCTATTTTGTAAAAAGTAAGTAGAGAATTTTATGTAATAATATCTAAACTACAGAAATAAACCTATGACATTTAATAATTTTCATTTTTATTTTCTAATCTAAATATAATTGAAAACTTTGTCGACAAATGAAAAGTCAAATAGGTATCACTAATTATTTTTAATAGTTTTCGAAGATACACCTTCATCTAATACAGAAAACCAAAAATAAAGTAGAAACAATCATTGCAAATGTATATAAAATTGAAAAGATTTTATTTTTTAATATATTATATGTATAAAATATATGTGTCTAATCCCTGCTTCTTTACCTGAATTCAGATAACATTTGAAATTGTTTGAGTGTAGAAATATTTCAGCCTATTTAAAAACATAAGATAGCCTCTATCTTGTAAATTCAACAAAGAAATTCAAACAAGAATTGTCTTACCACCAAAAAGTTCTAATTATAGCACATGTGTTACATAAATAACATTATTGCAATATATTATTTTATTTAAAAATAAGTGTAAAGTTAACTATCAAAAATATTATATTGTATTTATGAAATTTATTTTAATGCGTGGAAATTTTCTGAAACCTGGGAAACAGGTTATATGACATCTATGTTTTCTGATATATAATTAAAATATTCTATTCAGATCTCTTATATGTATAATGCATTAAAGAAGAATAATTTATATGATAATTATCATAGATGCTTTACTCATTTACAATCCGCGATTTTTATCTATATCAGAGTATTCGTCATCTTACACGTGCTCTCATTTTTTATCTTATGCTAAATGTATATAAGTAAAATGGACATTTGATCTAGCGTTTAATATCCCATGAATTAGTGTGAAAATAAAAGAGGAGATCATGGCTAGATTTAGCTATACTGTGACGATCATCAGTATCGTATTGATGTGTGTTTTGGCAGAAGAATTCTACTCTAATCAATACGACAACATTGACGTCGCGAGTATCCTTCAGAACGATAAATTGCGAGAACAATATTATAATTGTCTTATGGAAACAGGACCATGTCGGACAGCAGATGCAAAGTTCTTTAAAGGTATACTTATGCACAAAATATTTCAACAAATAAATTTTCACGACAGACTCTTTAATCAATTAAAAATCAAATATATATACCGTTCAACAATATATCTATATCTATCAAGTTTTAAAATAATTAATGATCATATATATAAAGAACTTCTGGTAATAAAGATAAAAAAATTATCAAATAAATATTTCTCATTTAATTTGGAACATATTTTCATTCAGGAGATATATATTCAAGTCTCTATTCTATAACTCTTAATGATGATATCGTTACACTGTCGTTGCGTAGGTTTCACAATTAATGGTAAAAAAGCTGTGCAATGACAATATAACAATATCGTTTCTGTCATTAAGAATTACAAAATAGGAACCTCAATAAAAAATATATATCTAACTATAATATAACTAAAACATTTAAAAGTTGCAAAAATTGAGTAACATATTTCAAATTCTTTCTAAAAACTGTCATTAAAGGACAATTGCTGATTTTTGAATCATCGTTAAGTTTTGAATAAATTTTCTAATTTCTTAAAAATATAACGAAAGAGGTCATCTCAATATTATTTTTCGTAAAAATTGCAGTAGATTTCGACTTGCAAAATACTTCTTGCTTCTACTTAATTTTTCAATATTCCATATACATACGTGTTAATTAGGAAAAAGATAAAGAAAGGAAAAGAGAATTTTATGCTTACAATGAATTAAAATCAATATACGTCAAAAACTTTGTTGATTTGATTTCAGAGGTTGCTAGCGAAGTTCTCCAAACTAAATGTAAGAAATGCAATGAAAGACAAAAAGAAATAATGAATTCAATAGTAGATTGGTATACAAAAAATAGACCTGAACAGTGGGAAGCTTTTGTTGCAAAGACTATTGAAAATCCAAAAAAGAAAAACGCTGGCACATAATTGTTGACAATTACTGAAATAACGAGGAGAGAACGGAAAAAATCGAAAATTAATTAATTCTTTATAAAATTATTGAAACTTTTATATATTCGGAAATATCTCTTTAAAAAAATAGAGAAATTTTTAGATGATATAATTGTTAATGTAGTTAATACATGTATTATAGTATTATGTGTGTTATACTGAGAAAAGATTTTAACTTGACTAAATGCGTTTAATTCGTAGTGGTTATTTAATTCAAATATTTATATATTATATATTTGGCTTAACATAATCTTGTAATTTAAAACATGTTATTTGTTTAAATTAACAAATAATTGGTTAAATTAATAAATTTGCTTGACAACCCGCTATATGTTTAGTTGAATCAATTATAATTGATGTTTTTTTGAAACAATTTTTTTCAATGTAGATATTACATTAAATAAAGAAGAACAATTCAGATTTTATCTTTATTTTTTGAAAATCGTAACTATTTTTTGTCGATACAAAGAATAGTTATAATTTTCATATAAATTCTGCTACTTTTGCAATATCCTTATTTGACAAATATATATAAAAAAGTGACAGTTTTATAATATATAATCAAAATACAATAATTATTCTCGTTTTGTATTATACGGCATGTTTACAAATGTATAGTATTAAAGGACATGTATGTAAATAATTATGTACAATATTTTGATCTGATATTCTTAAGTTTCCAAGGAATGCTGATGCGTCTTTGGGTCGCATGCTTGTTAATAATTAATTCAATATTAGGAAACCGACTACTAATATCAGAAAATAAAATTATTTTTTCTTAAAAAGAGATTGATTTATTATCAAAAATCCTCCAATTTTAATTATAAGAGAGCTACAATAGTAATAATTATATAATAAATTATATATCTACTACATATAAATAATTAATCGCACAGTCACTATATCGACGCCTGCTACGAAGAGTAGCACGTTTCATTTGTCCTACGAAAAACTCTTATGAGGTCGTTGCGTCGAAGAATGTTATGTTTCCGTTTTCGCCGCGAAAGTCAATACATTTGAGTTTTGACTTTCGAAAAGTAACATATTTCATTTTATATCACGAATAATAATATGTTTTGAGCGTTTTGTGACGAAAAGTGGTGTGTTTTTTTTTATATCACAAAAACTAACATGTTCTAACATTTAATCGTTCATTCACTGATTCATTAATTCATTTAATCATTTGTTCATTTTATAGATATAACAATTCATTAGATTGCTTATTTATACGTTATGAAGAGAGAATTATTCCGCTCAATGATCAAGCAGTGAAGGATTCTATTGTGGAATGTGAAACGTGCAAAACGCAACACGCAATGTAGAACGCAAAACATGCAATTCGTGCATTAAATAAAACAATATATCTAGCAATGTCCTAGAAAATAATTGCAACATACCTTGTACGTCCTTTTTAAAATTCTTTGTAATGTTTAAGTCAAAAAATGTGCAACGCAAATACAAGAGATAATAAAAGATATTTATATTAACTAATTTAATCAATTTTTCCTTAGCAGCTGCATTTAGACTTTTTTTTTATTGTGTAATATATATATATATATATATATAGCAGTTTTAATAAATTATGTTGAAAATATTTGCTAAACTTTGACATAATATATATCTTCTATGTAATTTTGTTCTAGTTACAGAATATTTAAAGTGATTTAATAATCATAACACATAAGTCATTATAAATTTTAAAATAATAAAAAGTAATAAAGAGACAAGTATAGAGAATAAGAAGAAAAGAGAAAAGATGAAAAATGCAAGAATTCAACTAAAAAGAACACCTCTACTGTATGATCAAATGCAGTATAATCAATTCGTAAATGTTCTTGTGTCAAAAATAATATTACGTTTTTATTCAGTACATGTAATTACAATAATAATTAGATTAACTTACAATTACACAAACCGTAAAAAGTTGACAAGTAAAGAATTTTATGAGTAGTAATATATCCAATCTATAGATTTAAATTAATGATTAGAGATTTTGTCATTTAAGATGAAATCTATATTATATTATTTTCCGACTAAAAATTTTTATTTTCTAATCCAAAGTATAATTTAGAATTTCGACAACAGATGATAAGTCAAGGTACTACATAGAAACAATTATTTCTTAAAATTTACCTTGAAAATATAGCGGTTATAACACAATACAATATTTTAAAGATTTTTATTATGCACTTCAGTAAAATTAATCAAACTTATTTTATATTTTATTGTAGTTTTATTAACGAATGAGAGATTTACATAAAAATTCTTCCAAGTATAATGTTGTCTCAAGATTTTCATATTTTCAGGGTAATTTTTAAGAAATAATTCTTTTTCTGTACAAATTATTTTTAATAATTGTTGAAAATTTTATCGAATAGAAAGATGAAGAAAAATTGAAATGAAAATTTAAAATTTGAACAAGTATATGAAATTGTTCTACCATCAAAAGGTTTAATTTTAATTTTAACATATATATATATATATTTGCTACAATAAATAAAATCATTATGACATCATATTATTTTATATTAAAATAAATACAAAGTTGACTCCAAAAAATATAAGAATATCTATTTAATATATACATAACTAATAAAGGAAACATTGGTTAAAATAATTATCATAGTGAATTTTTTATTTGCAATCAAAGACATGCGATTCTTATACTACTAGATATATACCACTATTCATCATCTTACACGTAATAATTTTTTATCTCGTGTCTAATGTATAAAATGATGCACATCTGAACGATCACCCAGTCTCACGAGTTATTGTGAAAATAGAAGAAACGATGGCTCTATTTAGCTACATTGCGACGATCATTAGTATCGCACTGCTTTGCGTTCTGGCGGAAGAACTTTACTCCGATCGGTACGACCACATTGACGCAGAGGGTATCCTTCAGAATGACAAATTGCGAGATCAATATTTCAATTGTTTCATGGAAACAGCACCATGCGTAACAGCAGATGCGAAGTTCTTCAAAGGTATACTATGCACAAAATAGTTCAACGAATAATTTTCACGACAGACTTTTTAATCAATTAGAAATAAGTATTCCTAAACAGTCTACAGTTATTTCAAACAGTAGTTTCAGGAGACGCGGTAATGTCTCCGGCCATGTTTAAAAACTGAGAGACGCTACAAGTCTCTTATCCCGAGCCACCAAAGTCCACTTTTGGGAGGTGTATAACTACTAAAATTTAAATTTTAATAATTAATGACCGTCGTATAAATAAGAAACTTGTGGCGATAAGGGTAAACAAAATATTAACATTTTTTATTTAATTTAAACAGAACATATTTTCATTCAGAAGACACACTTAATCAAAAGAATATACATATAAATAAAAAATTAAGAAATTGGCGTTAAGTGAAATAATGACATTATATCAGAAGGTTTGCGGTTTATCGCCGTGTCTTTCTTCATTATTAATGCCAACGTTTCGTGAACCATACCGTTCACTTCATCAGGGCAAGAGGTGCGCTGATACCGGGTATCATTTCACTTAACGCAATTTCTTAATTTTTTATTTATATGTATATTCTTTTGATTAAGTGTGTCTTCTGAATGAAAATATGTTCTGTTTAAATTAAATAAAAAATGTTAATATTTTGTTTACCCTTATCGCCACAAGTTTCTTATTTATACGACGGTCATTAATTATTTAAATTTAAATTTTAGTAGTTATGCACCTCCCAAAAGTGGACTTTGGTGGCTCGGGATAAGAGACTTGTAGCGTCTCTCAGTTTTTGAACATGGCCGGAGATACTACCTCCTGAAACTACTGTTTGAAATAACTGTAGACTGTTTAGGAATACTTGATTTCTATAATAATTGATTAAAGAGTCTGTCGTATATTCATATTACATGAAGTGAACGGTTCACGAAACGTTGGCATTAATAATGAAGAAAGACTCGGCGATAACCCGCAAACTTTCTGCGGTATAATTGAAGAAAATACTCGTGAAAGCCTCAAAAGTGAAATAATGACATATTTCAAATTTTTCCTAAAAACATACTAAATTATTCAAAGATTGCATTATTTAAATGTAATAAAGTAGTAATAGATATAAACGTTTAATATAAACATGTGTATATATAAGAGAATATTATGTATCATTTGAGATAATCATAAATTTATGTATATATATGTATAATATATTAGGTGTACAACTTTGCTCCCGCCGTTTTTACAGGTATATACCTGTAAAAACGGCGGGAGCAAAGTTGTACACC